GAGGCATAGCATTGGACGCGTTATTGGAAGACCGAAGGTTAGATCCCTGCCAGCGGCAAGTTATCACTTCGTCCAATTTTCTTACTTTTCATTTACGTTACAAATACTGCTAATCACATCCCCTATACTCTATTTGATACCATTGTTTATTTTTCTCATTAATATAGTGTCTAACAAAAAAAACAAGCCCTTAAGTTTACGCTTGTTTGCTTTGTAATTTGCGTAGTTTTACGCAGCTAACAAACAACGCCATGATTATGAGGCCCACCGAGGGCTCCGGCAACGTCTACGATCTGGAGATTTCTAACGAGCACTGACATCATACTGTACAGGGGCCTACATATTTTTGCCTCTATCAAAGTGCTACCACCGCAGCCGGGCTCCAACCCACAAAGTATACATGTGCGCAGCCGAGCACCGTAACATATCACCCTAGCGTATACTATACGAAGCAGCGCAGTCCTGTAGTTTGCACTATACCATTGACACTCGATTCCACGAAGTGACGATTGCTCTCGAATTACTTCGTTGAATCGAAGATTTCGTAAAGTGGAGAAAAGAATTTTTCGGGGACCTTTTAAATGTAAAATTGTAACGTTGCGACACGCGAAACTTCCCGTGGCATTGCTTTTTTGCCGTCAACACATGCCTACACGTCTGCAAGTCCACGAGGGCGGCCACACATATATATATATCCAATGCCTGGGTGACGCAGGGCAGGTAGATGGTCCCCTGACGCTATCGCTACAGGCTTGTGACGATCGATAACGCTGAGAAACAATGCGCTAATTGGACGAGCAGAAGTCGAGCAAGAAAGACGCAATGAGATGAGAAATGCTATGTGAGGCTATGAAATAATCAAAGCCACTACCTCTATGCGCTACACTCATAAGAGCGCTGTCGACTTCCGAGTACGTACCGCGCATGTGCACGGCGTGCAGCCTCGTCAAAACAAAGCTGTAACTAGGACGCCCAGTTGTTTTTACGTTAGAGCGCGCACTCGAAGAAAATTCGTCTAGGCGAAAATTACAAAGTATAATGACCGCAGTTTCCCGCAGTTACTTTCAGAAAATCTTCGCGAATTCGGGCACCGTGACCAAAACAGTTCGTTAATACGTGTCGGTGACAACACTCGACCCTAAAGTACTCGCCGGAGAATATAAATTTCATCGTTAGACGGGAACTTTGTAAAATCGGCTTTCGTTAGATCGAGTTTTGACTCTGTATACTTATATGCGTGTGTATATATAAGATTAAACTTTTTTTTTTACCATTATATATGCGGTTCACAACCTCGGTTTAACATTGCTGAGTTTCCTCTATCGCTATGGTTGGACAGATAAGCACCAAACATGTCACGCGAAGCTTATGTGCGGTGCTGGTGACATTGAGATAACTTGCCGCTTCCCGTGGCAACATGTATACGGCCGCGATTCGCCTTCATTCAAGTTTCGTCGCTTCCTGATCAAGGAAAGTTCTGGTCTGAAGTAATAGGGCAGCCGTGTGCCCTGCGCTCCGGCCGCGCTCAATTTTGATATATTCATCAAAATTCGATTATGAATATCTCAAATTAGTTACGTCAGTAATTTTCAGAAAGCGTCTATGCCATAAATTGTTATGAACTAGAGCTTCCTAATACAAACAACGCCCCTGGCCAATAACTGAATAGTTAATCAAGACGTTTTTGTGCATTACCCCTTTGAATACCATTTAAGTTCTATGAAAGTATATACGCTTCAGTGTGGAGTCCGTGAGTGAAAACGACGGTAGCCTGACTTTCGTATAATTTTTATTAAAAATTAGTAGTGTCTTTAAAGAAATGCGCCGTACAGTGTGAGCAGCGAGTTGTGCTATCTAAAGTAATTAAATACGGTATGCGAGTGCTTCACTGCTGCCAAGTTCACAACGGGCATGCGATTCGCTAATCTGAACTTTAGTCGTTCTGGATTTCTCGTCACGCATTTTTATCGGTGTATTAACCCCGCCCTATCTGTTTTGCATCGCCTGGGCTTTGGATTAGGAAGACACTAGAGAATTCGCGAAAAGATAATACAAATCCAAAATATTCGCCGGTAGAGTTTCCAGGGTTATTACGTCGTACGATTACGCTGATCAGTTAAGCATCTTAGTCACTTCAGGGGAGCAAAAATTCAGAAGCGAATTGCCGACCAGCAACTTTTCAACTGAAGCGAGCATTCCGTGTACGGGCAACTTACTGGCCGTGTATGACATCTTGATCGGTTGTTTGTTACCATTGGAATATGCGCGTGCAAATTATCATAACTATCACCGTGTCATACCAACTAGCCCAAACCGCCACACTTGTAAGTTTCCGCGAAAGGCCTTCATCAGCGGTGTACTGCGTGCTCAGCCGGCCGGGGTACTCACCTGCACATTCATCTGAAAGGCTGGCGGCCCCTGAAGTTTGCGCTCATTGGCGAGACTATATCCTGTTCTGGACACAAACAGAACGGGATTGCACATTCGCGCCTTTGCTGTGACCTCGTTACTGCATTAGTATGAACGGGAATGTTAACTCGGATACTCGTTCGTGCTTGAGGCAAGAACATGCGCGGCAACCTCCGTGCAGTGATAGTGACTCCATTCTTCGTTCCACTCGTGAGTACTCGATAAAACTATATCACTACACCCTTCTCAGTATTTTCATTTTCGCTCTCTATATACATACACAGCGGTGAATACAAACTGTAATGTTGCTGGACACGTTACTATATATATATGACTCGGTTTTTATTCAATGCTAATACCCCCCCCCCCCCCCCCCCCCCCCAAAAGAACAAGCATTTCTGTGATTGTTTCTGTGGCGTTTCGTAAACTTAGCAGCACGCAGGATTCACGAGTGACTCTGCCGCTCGTGTGCAAGTACTCTCAGAACGAAAGTGAATCACACAGCGGCACCGTTCTTGCTCGAGGGCCCCATCGAAGGGTCCTGTTGTGCGGCCGCCTCTCAAACAGCTCGTCAGGTCAGTCGGTGTGCTTGTCTGCCGCGCTCTTTGAGAGCGATGTAGTCAGTGTGGCGGCAGGGGGAAATAAAGAACGCCAGACAAGAAGCGGCTACGGCCGGCCCATTGTCGGCGGCGACAATGGGCCGTGGGTGCATGCATGCAGCGCGCATCACGTGCTTGGCAGAGCGTCGCGCTGAGCAGACCGTCGGACAGGCTTCATAACAAGCTGCGGATCGTGCTCTGTCATGTTCGACCGGTGACACATTATCCCCCTCGCCTGTGTCCTTAAAGCTGTTGGTTCCGTGAGACGCTACTTGTATTAGAGCACTGAGAGCTCTTTAAAAATAAATCTACTCTCTAATTCAACAGACTGATTGGTATCGTTTGCTGCCGGTTTTATTCAAAAGGCTTTTCTGGAAAAAAAGAATAAAGAAAAGATAAGGGATCATTAATAGGTCATAGATAGTACGGGCCCTATATATTTCACTAGCGAAGGGAAGTGAAACGGTGTGCATTTGAAAGACACGCATCAACGAAACCTTAGTCAACGTCGTGCTTCCACATACATACGATTCACGGCATCAGCGCAGGGAAGCGGAACGGTTCCTCCGGGCGATGTCAACTTCTCTCGCCGAAAGGAAGCCGTTTTAAAGCGAGCACATAGCCGAGAGTCGACGTCATCGCAGTCAGGCTCACCCACGCGGCCACGAAGGTTCGCAAGCCGGCACCGAATAACAATGAAGGCGGCGGGTCACGGCGCTCGGAGGAGTGCGTGCCGACGTCGTGGCGTTTTCGGGCGCCGCTTCACCGGCGGAATCTGAAGCGCCTGGCGCACTAACTTGCTTCCGGGTCCGGGCCGTGAGTAAAGCGCGCTGGTCGAACAGCGCATCCCGCGCGGAGGCAGCGCGCTCGGCGAAGGTCGAAGGGCGACTGTTTGTGATCGCGCCGGGGGCCGGACGTGACGCAGGTGGAACTCCCCGCGGTCCCCTTCCTTTGTCAACAGTGGCCGGCCCCTTTGTCTTTGCTCCCGCCTTTAACGCTCGGCGCCATTAATCAGCGCACCGTCCCTCCCGGGCGCGCCGCCTTCAGGGAGGCCGCCCTGCAAAGAGCTCTCGGCCTTGGAGGAACCGGACCGCGGTTCAGCCGGCCGACAAAGACCGTAACAGCGGACCGTTGCGGCCACGCTCGAATAGGCGCATGAAGTGCATTAAGGGAGTTCCGCCCTCGTATTCACAACGGTGAGGAACGATCCCGTGTTTAATGCGGCATTGTCCGGACCGAGGTTCGGCCCAGGAGACTCGGGATGTGTGTCAAGTAGGCCCACCGCCGCCAGCTGCGTCGGCACGCTGGCCTACACTGTGAGCCAGAAGTAAGCAGACAGGAAGGGGCGCCTATTCAAATAAAACGCTTTCGTTTATTTTAAAGCACTCATCACATGGAGGCAGCCTCAATGCACCTACGAAAAAAAAAAACTAATTACTCGAGGCTCGAACGCTTTGAACCAGGTTTGTGTACAGGTGCTTCTCCGCCGGAGCTGCACGAGCTTCGCTTTGTGGCCGTGGGTTATTTACAGCAGACAACGTGCGCCAAAGAAGAGACACGCCGCACTCGTCCGCCGAGCGGCTGAGAAGCGCCGCCGCGCTCATGTCGGAGCCAAACGAGCACGCGTTCCTGTCACCTGCGGCCGTGGCACGCTCAGCTCGCCCCGTGAGTGTCGGAAGAGGAGGCTCGGGAGGAAGGGAGCTCGCTTGCTTTGCTTTCGCCCTTCCTGTACCCGGCGTGCGGGCCGAAGAAGAAAACTTATCAGGCACGCTTTACGTACATCACTTCCTTCACTTATTTGTATTTTATTTTTGCTTTAGAAAGTTGTAATGACGTTCTGGATAGATCACCAGGGTGTAAACTGGATGCCAGAAAAACTGACAAGAAGTTGTTCTTTTTGCACGGGCGTGTCTGAATGTGTCAGATTTGTGATTTTTCTACGAACTTGCTTTTGACAACGCATACCTCTGAAACACACACACACACACTTAGTCTGCATAAAAGAATGGTTCTTTATATTTCAACATTTGCAGCGATCCTCAGAGGGAAAAAAAAAAACGAACTGGATAACAGATGTGTTCCGCACATGTTTTATGCTTTAAGTAGACCATCATACGCCACTGAATGAGATGAAATTTGGGTCTTTCAGCAACAGCTACTCCGTCGTAATGACATAACAGATCAATGTACACATGCCATGGTGTCGATGAGTATTAAATAACAATGGGAGAGCAATAGAATACGGAACGGTAAAGTTACCGCAGCAACTTGACATCACGTGAACATTGAAAGACAATAAGAAGAAACAGACAAACAAAACAACGCTCTAGCTCAATTTTTCAGGGCTAACGTGGAGGAAAGCTTTGCTACTCCCTCACAAAACAGGTATTCACAACCGAAAAAAATCGTGCATGTGTGGCAGTTTCGTTCCTCCGAGAAAGTTCGCGAATGTGGCATACTGGACTAATGGTTCAAGTCTATTACACGAACAGCCAAGGGCAAACGGGGCGTTGAATAGCACAATCACCCGAAATTAAACCGGGCCTTTCCGAACTCGGTAATACGTAACAATCTTTCTGTTGATCTTTTTTTTTTAATTCGATTACAAGCCCCGCCACGGTAGTCGAGTGGATAAGGTACTCGGCTGCTGACCCGCTGGTCGCGGGATCGAATCCCGGCTGCGGCAGCTGCATTTCCGATGGAGGCGGAAATGTTGTAGGCCCGTGTGCTCAGATCTGGGTGCACGTTAAAGAACCCCAGGTGGCCGAAATTTCCGGATCCCTCCACTACGGCGCCTCTCATAATCATATAGCTGTTTTGGGACGTTAAAGCCCACACATCAATCAATTTGATTACAATTTTCCCACAGTGACGTGTACGGGGACTACAACTTTACGCTGCGAATAGGTCGGAGCAGTTTGGCACAGCGGTTGCATGGCCCTCTGCTGCGTTGAAGCATTCAGTCAAGTGGTTCGCGAAACTGGGAGCGTACGGTGCGCATTCATTCTGGTTTCCCTCAACCGGGTATGTTAAAACAGTAGCTTAATTTGTCGAGTTTTTTTTTTCAACCTTCGCTCAATGGAGTATAGTTAACAGGAAATTTGGAGAATTGGAGCAGCAGGTCAATTTCGCCGTCTACTTGGAACCATACCAGAACGGTTGCGCGACACGTGCGTCCTTCGAAGCTTCCGCGACGCTTCTGTGCCTTCACTGCTCGCGCTTCAGTGTTTGAGTTCCTTTACCTTTTTGTATGTATTGTTTGCTACAAGCCACATTCGACTTTCGGCGGATCGGACAACGCAGTGTGAATATATGACCAATCGCTTTTTCAACGGCCAAGTAGATGTAAATGCATGACGAGATTGTTCTGAATAGAGGCCTCTTGGAAATAGCTGCCGCTTTATTTCCGGACGCAAGCTGCGTTAGACACGCGTAAAGGAAACACAACTGTCGGGCCGCTAGTCGTTCCGCTTCAAGGAGGGCATGAAATAAAAGTTAAATGTACAAGACAATCGTGGCTACCTATCATCTTTTCGGAGAACGCGGAAATATACGCCTCAATATATTCTCGGATTTTAATTTACTCGGTTCCGAGAAAAGGTTTCGTGTGGTCAACGTACTCGAATGTCTGTATATTTACAACGAACATCGCGAAATAAAATGCGTTATGCTCGCCATTCTGTACTTTTGAAAAACAATTTTTTTTTAGAAACTCACCAGGCCCCATTGCAACTTGGTTTTACGCATTGTAAGACGTAAATTAACCCCATCGGGGGGGATTATTTCGGAAATAATTTCTGATTGGAGAAGTTAGAAGAAATGAAAACTGTCCGGTCCCTCGTTTCAATGTGAGACTCTCCCCATTTGCTCCTCCCCCCCCCCCCCCCAATCAAAGGTTCGGCATTGCGCTTTCTTTGTATTTCATTGGCGCTAGCTGTGAACGTTACCTTCAGGCGAGGATAAGTCCTGCCCCGTCACCCTATCCGAACGAACGTGTGTTAAAAAATGCTGCTTAGAACACAATCGTTTGCAAAGACGAGCATCTCTCTCCTCTGATGCGACTTGACTGAGCGGTATGCGACCAGTTTCGACATGTGGCGGCACAACCACCAACGGCGTGCGTAAACAGCTGCATGCGAGGGACGCATGCGAAGACTGAGGTAGTTTCTCCGGACAAGACTCTTGTCGGAAGGGTGCACGTTGCAGCGAGTACATGTGCGAGACTAGCGTGCGTGACCATTGCTGCCAGAACGAGGGAATCGCGCAGTTCTCTGTAGACACTATCGACATAAACACAAGCACAAACATTCGTTTATCTACAACGCCAGCGCAGGAATGCCTTGTGTTGCGGCGACCGCCACAAATAACAGCGATTTTATAACGAGTCCAAGTGAACGAAAATAAAATAAAAACAACCTTCAGTCAGGTCTCTCCCATACGAACTCACGATAAAACCATGTTTAAATAAAAACTATCACACTTGAAATTGTTTAAAACAAATTGGCGCCAATAAAACCATCGCCCCATAACGAAGACACGTCAAAACGACGTGGGCTCGTTGGGCACGATTGTAAACCTTCAAGAAAAAGTTCCGCGAATGTGCACTTCTCGGGAAGAATCCTTGTGTCGTTACACGCGACACCTCCCTGCGAGGGTTGAAAATTTCAGACCCCGTTGTCGCTTTCCTTGTTTTCGAAATCTTTTTTCTGCCCGTCTAAACACGGCTATAACTACTACTTCGGTGGAAGCTTGCGCGTCGGTATAATACACACAGTAGCACGCACACACACGCACTAGTGGTCCGTCCCATAGGAAGTGTCAATTCTTTGGTGCTGGAGGCGGCGCTGGGGCGCGCGCGCACACAAGTCACGCCGCACCACGGTTTCCGCCACGGGCGGGGAGTGTCCCTTTGTCAATAAATTAATAAATAGGAATAAATTAGGAGGCGGCACTGCACAAGCGTCCGCGGCGGCACCCTTAGGAATGGTCCCGCAGGTAGGCGAACAGTTCGGAGATGTACCGGGTGAGGCGGATGTACTCGCGCAGGATGATGTAGTCACGCAGATTGCGCTGGCTGTCCTGCTTGATGTCGCGGTACTCGTGCGACATCACGTCGCGCAGAACGTCTGCGCTCTTGGCCACATTGAAGTGCACGATGCCGATCTGGAGCTCGCACAGCAGCTGGCCCAGGTTCTGCTGGATCTCGAGAAAGAGTCGGTGGAAGGGTCCGTTGTGGAAGATCTGATCCAGCACGGCCTGCTCCAGTCCCACGGCGAAGTACTGCACGAAGCCGAACGTCTTCTTGTACGCTTCTTCTTTCTGCGAAGAAAAGAGCACGCGTTGGATCAAGTGGCACAGTGCACGAAGATACCAGTTTGGGGCATTGACAGTATCGAAATTCGAGAAAACATTCTATGTGAAACTTGCGTACAACAAATGTCTGGTGCGCCACAATTTGCCTGGAGACACCATCTATATAGTGCGTATAAAATGGCCCTGCCACCACCTTAATCAATAATACATGCCACATTAGCGGAAATGACCAAACTGTACATGCCTGAATCTTTTCGAAAAACATGGACGATTCGGAAGGTAAAGTTTCGTGAAGCCTTACAGGCTACTGTTCAAGGTGGTGGTTCAGACGGGTAGTGAAGAATAGTATAGGGCGTGAGCGCAGCCCTGAATATTTCTTTATCCCTGGCGTTTCACAATGTATTTGTTGTTCATTGAAATAGCGTACCCATTGTATAAAAAAGGTGTAGGTTTATAATGCCCAGACACTTGAATTCCAGTCGAATAATTTATTTTAACGGTGGTTTTACTTTTGTTTTCCTTCACAGCGGCCTTGATAGCCCCGTCGATTAAGCGTGTAGCGTGCACTAGTGAAGGGAACACTAATTGGTAAGGTTGTTCCAGAAACAATTAAATTTATGAAAAGCAATCAGCATAGGTTTGTGCCTACCACTAACATAACTTTTGCTTTCTTGTAGTTACAGTACGAGATAAACTCGTATCCGTGCACGTACTCATTCGGAAACATCTGCCAGACAAAACTTGTCCAGATTTTTGATACGGCCACTGCAAATGCTCTGACAAAGACCGTCGCATCGAATTGCGTCAAAGAAGACTTGACACTGCAGTGCGCTCGCAACAGCACGATGGTGGCGATGCACCGTTTGAGCGTGCGCCCAAGCTCGCAGCAGGATGTCTGCGATTTATGAATCTCTCGTCTCGAATTAGCCACATGTTGCTGCTATTCCGCGGCCGCCAACCGCAGACGCCTGGGTCCCTCTAATCTGATTTGGTAAGGGGATAAACGAGGACGTAGTGGTATACGGGTGAAATACGGCCGGCTGTACAACAACACCCAGGCCGTAACGTATAGGACGATAAATCTGGGCCACTGTCTTTCACAGCGAGGCCCCTGCTGGCCGAGGGTCCCTTGAGATGGTGCCGCTCGACGAGCGTCTGCTTGGACGCTCTCCAAGCGGCCAGCGCCTCGGGCAAACCGGGCCTTTCGCGCGCGTCACCTGCGCCGGCGGCTGTTGAGCCCGACAGCGTCCCCTATCGGCTGCCGCCGTCGCTCCTTGCTGGCTGCGATCCTTCAGAGCACTTGCTGCTAGTCATAGTCGCATTAAATCGCTCTCGCAGTGAACGGTATCGACAGAAAATACACCCTACAGGTCAGACAGACAAACCAATGCAGCAACTCCGAGATGACCTTTGTAATCTCAAACGTTTGACTCATCTAGATGAAAGTGTATCCTGACGCCTTCACTCGTCTCAAAGAGACGTCAGGGCTCGGCGTGAAAATTAACATCTATGAGTGAACGAGACATCCACGAGAAAGGACAGCTCGCGTGAGCAGTGGGTCTTTAGTCGCGACGCAAGCGTATACGCGACGCGTTCATTTGACCATGCACTACCGAGCACTTTTGCGCTTCTAAGGGGGGCCACCCGGGGAGCGCACCACGGGATACGGTGCGGGAACACACACCCTCTCTCGGGAAACAGAAACAAAACGGGACCCGCATTCCAACCAATTGTTCCGGCCCGGTATAACCGCCTTAGGGCACCCACTAGAGAGCGCGGGCGTGGGAAAAAAAATGGCAAGCGACTGGCCACGACTGGCCATTTTGGGACACCGGCTTTCGCGCAGCGGGACTTTGACGACAGCAGCCTTTCTCTATCTGCACACTTTATCTCCTCTGATCGCCGTGACTTGTGCGGCCTCCCTCGGCAGGACCGGTGTCAACAAATCGCCACGCTGTCAACGCTGCGATAGCCGAGCTATGTCTTGTTCTCGGCTAAGTGCGTGCACCACCTTCTGTTGTGAAGCTATTCAGTGGCGCTCCCCATCGCCTATTAGAGGACCCCCGTGAGTGGGGATTCCGTGGCTTCCGAGGCGGGCCCGTCTCCCGCTAGGTTCGCACCCCACGTCAGGCTCTTCGGGGGAGCTCATCGTACTACAAACGGGCGTGCATTGTATCGTTGTGTCTGAGAGGGCGCCCGCTGCTCGCTTCATGTCCGAATCTTGTCTGAACAGATATCTGTGAGCACGAGTTCTCGCGCCGTTAGTGGCGCAGTGCTGAACGTTCAGTGCGGTTCGCGGAGATGCTCGAGAACACAGCGAGGTCAGTGGCCGCACCGCCGAAAGACACAAGTGCCGACGCTTCTCTTCGTGCGCCCGCTGAAGCCCTCGGCACAAGTGCTGGGCTTGGAGTGGCCCGAGTGAAGCGGCGCTCCTTGGTAGACAAAGGGCGGCTCGACGAGCGCGCCCGGCCGGCACAGCGGCACCTGTTCGCGGGGGCTGAACCAGTTCTGGCCAAGACTTCGGCGCCACTTGTGACGCGCCCGTAGACCGCTCCTTGAACCGCCTTTTGTTCGCCGCCGGCATGCATACACCCGACAAGACGCTGTCATCACGCTTATGCGTTCAAAGTGGTGATGCCTGACTAAGAACCACGCATTTCTTCCGGGGTGTCTCATCTTGTTGTATACCTCACAGCGGACCTAGCACAATTGAGAAGCTGGGGTGGGGGGGGATGAATCACTCACGAGTCAGCTGGAGTCCAGCCATTGGTTCAACATGCCGAGGGTACTAGCATGACATAATTTTTATTTCTGTTTTTCTTATTCAACCGAAATGTGTCGTGATACTCTCTTTAAAGCCGAAGACCTCAACGTCTAATATCACCTGTTTCACGTCTGCTTACCACGTCTGATCACTGGTAACTTCAAAGAAAAGAGAAAGAGCAAGAAAAACAGCAAACGCTGGAAGAGCCTTTTCTAAATATTCTTTGGGTTACTGCTACAAGCACACTTGCTCGGTGCCCACTACATCATAAATAATCACAATTTTTGTGTAACAGGTTGGCGTTAACTATACTATCCATCGTCATTCTTCCGAGAAGCGTGGTATCCTCTTGCTAAGAATTTCGTGCAATTTTTTCATCAGTGGTTGACGACGATGAATAATTATGCCTGAAGTGGATATGCGCCATAGTTAATATGCGATCAAGAACAAGTTTTCTAATGGGTTGGAGAATTCGGACGACCCACTCATAACGCGATTCGCATTGTGTGACGCCTGGTTGCTGTTTTGATGTTCTAAAACGCTTTGTTACTCATATTAACGCGATTTATTTCCCGACACCAAGCCTGCCCAAGGCCACTTTAGAAACGAGTGCTAAGGGGATTCCGAAAAGAAATTATTGATACTGTCAATTTTTTGAAAGCCAGGTTTACCTTGGAGTATTTTACACTATTGTCAGAACAAATTTAACCGCTACACTTGTGAATAACCTTTTCCCCGAACCTATTTATCGAAAGCCATATTCGCTTATGCCTGGTGGCGATGTATTATTTTGGGTAAGTAGGATGTAGATATCTCCTTCAGTGAATGGAATGGAATAAAAAAACTTTATTTTTTGATGAAAAGACTTTATTTATCCTTCAGCGAAAACATTTTTCTTTAAACTGCACACTTCCACGCGGCCAGCGAAAACGTGGCTGAATGAAAGATCAATATACGAACCCTGGACAGTGAATTGTAGACTCTGCAACCAACCTGAGACTATAGAGCATTGTTTTATTCATTGCCGTGACGCTTTTTTTTTTATTCTTGGGACATTCTAAAAAAGAACATTAAGAAAAGAACTTCCAATCACAGCTCATGGTATTAGGTTCCTTCCATTCAAAAAGAGTCTGACTGATAATACTCCTTATGACCTGTTTATGTTGTTAGGACTTTATTCACTAGGGAAAAAGTCGCATTATTGATAGACACGCCGAGCCAACACGGTCGACGAGATCTGTCTTCCGAGAAGCAGCTGCTCAAGTGCACAGTGTTGTTGAGACTTTTGACCTCGTTCCGGAGTGGCTTCCCGTTTTTGACGTTTGTGTGTGTTTGCCTGACTTCTGATGAAGTGTGTTGTGTGTACTTTACTGGTGATAATTTCATTCATTAAAAAAAAAGTACCAGCGTAGGTCAGTGGTAGTCTACTGGGCTGGCACGCAGCGGACCCGGGTTCGAATCCCATTGTGTGCTTGGTGTTTTTAAACTTTTTTTTTATTTTTTGCTATACTGCATGGTTGCGGACACCGGCGACGGCGGACAACTACGGCGCCGCACGTGACGCGTGTTCTGATCTCACAAGAACGTTCGCTGTAAAATAGGCTACGAATGAGGCACACATTTTGAAGTGCGTATAGAGGTGCGTGCATGCAATGCAGGCGCTCTTCACGATGGTCCGCGCAGATCGAACAATCAAGCTGAAGTTTACGGGAGCTGAAATTTGAGCGGAAAATGTGTACTCACTGTCATGGACCTGAAGTGATCTTCGGTCGGCATTGGCACATTGGGCAGCCACGACTGCATGTAAGAGGCCACCGAGTCCTCGAACTCGGAGTCGGCGAAGGTCCTCTCTAGCTGCAACAGACAAAAAAGAGGCGGACGGTTAGCCGCGCCGCGCCACAAATCCGGAACTTGCCTCAGCGGCTGATTGCAAGAGCACCAGACAGCGCTCGTTGGGCGGCCTACAGAAAGGAGGAGGCGAAGCTGGAGGGTGGGGTGGCACGGGGGTTTCGGTGCGGTGGGGGGTGACCTGAGTGGGGCACCTGTTGGTGCCGCATGCATTGCGCTGTACTATGTGCGTGATCTCTAGTGCACGGCAACTAGCAGCGCTCGCTTGGGAACCCGCCACCGATGAAGCGAGCCTTGCTAATTACAGGGATGGGTTGGCTCAGCCGCTGCATGGTTGAACTGTCACCCTCCTCCCTTCCCGGTTCTTTAGGCCAGCGGAGCCGGGCTCTTGTTTTCCCAAAAGAATGTGAATTGAATATTTGGAATGCCATTGCTGCTGTTGCTGGCGAGGGATCGTCTCGATGGTGGCGCGCGAGTGCCTCCGAACAGCAGCAACAACGCTTGCGTGCAGACAGCGAAGGTCAGCTAGCGCAGAACCGTTAAGACGCCTCCTCGAAAGACGAGCGCCCTTTGGCACAGGGGGCTTCCCAACCAGAATGGGACCCATTGTCTTTACAGGGGCTGTTCTCGGCGGCTCCGGACGTTTCAAAGAAGGCTTGCTCTTAGACGAAAGTGTGTTCACCAAGGCCGGCGGCTGTGCTATAGCGACTGCAATGATCAAGCAGCCAATAAGAATTCCCACTGAGTAACTTTCGCTAGGAATGCATATGCCGTTATATACGTTCCTCTTGAGGGTTAGTGGTTGATTAGCATTGATGATTTGAGAATGCTTACCGAATGTGACCCACCCCATCTTTATTCTCCTAGTTATTTCAATTCAGGGTTCGTATTCACAGTTACTACCTGTCCTAAGTAGACATATTCATTTACAATTTACAGCGTTTCTCCACCTATCGCAAAGTGCTGTTTACTGCCGAGACTGTTTCACTCTACTTTTGTTTTGTGCATATTAATTTTCAAACATACTCTTCTCCTTTCCGTGTCCAGTTCAGTAATCATGAGCTGTAATTCATCCCCTGAGTTACTCATCAAGGCAATGTCATCAGAGAGTCACAGGTTACTAAGATACCCTCCAGTGACTCTTATTCCTCCTGAAACTTCTGTAACCACGCGGTCAATAGCATTAGAGAAAGTGTGTCTCCCTGCCTTACACCTTTCTTTATTGGGATTCTGTCGCTTTCTTTATGGAGAACTATGGTGGCTGTGGATCCGCTGTAGATTTCTTCCGGTATGTTTATACAGGGTTCGTAGATGCCCTGATTGGGTAGCGCCTGGATTACTGCTAATGTCTCGACGGAGTGAAATGCCTTATCATAATCTACGGAAGCTATGTATAAGGATTGGTTGTATTCCGCGCATTTCTCTATCACCTGATTGCTAGTATGATATAACAGCTGCATTTTACCGGTACTTATCCCCGAAGCAGAACCTGGAAGCTTAAAAAGAGGGTTCAGCTTAAATTGAGGATGACGCAACGCAAAGAGCGACGGAAAGGAAAACGATAGGCGTAACCTTAAGAGAAAGAAGAGAGCTGAGTGGGTCAGGGAACAAACCGGGTTAACGATATTATAGTGGAAATCAAGAGGAAATGGACATGGGCGGTCACGTATAGCACGTATAGACAGGATAACCGCTGGTCATTAAGGGTAACTGACTGGATTCCCTGCAGAGAAGGCAAATGCACGAAGGGGAGACAGAAAGTTAGGTGGGCCGGTAAAACGCGTCAGCAGAACTGAGGACAAGACCGGGTTGATTGGCGGATTATGGGAAAGGCCTTTGCCCAGCAGTGGGCGTTGTCAGGCTGATGGTCAGGACACATGCGGTGACATTCAGCAAAAATTCAACAGAACGCCACAATTCAGTGCCCAAACTAAGTTCACCAACCGTTCCAAGTTGCCTAAATGGTACCAGATTCGATGACTAATCGCATTGTGCAAGCATTTACTTTCGACAGCTTTGTTCTTGTCTGGTGGCTGACAGCGTTGCGCCGACCGCACCGCGCGTCTGCTGCTTCCTGTCCAAAAGTGCACGTTCACGTACAATTACAGCATGACTGCCGTAATAGCATTTAAATTCATACCATCGCGCCGATACAGTGAGGCTGAGACCAAGCTGGCCACCGAGTACACTCGATCATCCTGATCCAAGAGGTGATCTCGGCTGCTTTGCTGAAGTGCGAACAATGATTACGCGGTTAAATACACCGAGAGTGACGTGTGGCGATACGAGACTTTTGACAGCGAACCGGCTTGTAATGCGACCCTGTGACAAACACACTTGCTTGAGCCTTCCGTGAACTCGCTGTGTGGACCCAAATCGGAACACTCAATCCAAAACGTTTTATTACTTCTTTCTTTTCTGGACGTGTTGGTGGTGGGTGGGAGTGAGATATTGGCCCTGAACTGTGACTTGTGACACTTGTGACACAAGATGTGACTTGTGACACTTTTACATTCTTAAATTAATTTTGGTTACGTTTCCCCTGAAACGAGTACATTAGCAAACAAACCGTTCATTTATTACAGGTTGTGAATTGTACAGTGAATACCGAAATTCAAAAGACGGCATAAAAGAGAGGTCAGACACTACAAATTTAGTTCTGCCAATTGCGTGTGATCGCCCAGATTGTATCATTCCTTAATTCATTCAATAGAAAATGTTTCTTGAAGACGAGATCACCCTATAATTAAGGAGCCGCTCTACTCATTTGGGAGTTGATTTCTTCCATGCGTTCGCACACAAATGAGGCGGACAAGTGGCCGCTTCATGCTTTGCGTTCCTCGCAGACGTGCACCCTACAGAGCGCTAATCTTTGTCAGCCACCACTGATGCCGCCAATGCTTCTCGTTGCGGCGGGTCTTCTTTTTTATAGCAGTGGCTATTTATGGAAGACCCAACAAGGGGCCGAAACGCAGTCCGGTTGCTCATCGCGGGTGCCAATGCGTGCGTCAGGGCGACGTGCGCGCTGGAGCGTGAGAAGAACGCTGTCACACTTGCACAAGTGTAATGAGAGTGTGACTTCATCGGCGCGCTGACAGGTACGAAGGTGTGTGTAGCGTCAAACTTTCCGGGCAACAATGGGCGTGCACCAGTTGCACGTAAAAACACTCGCCGGGTGTTTTGATAATCTGCATTCCATGACGGAAGAACCAGTGCTGCCGCCAGCACATACAGCACGTTATACGGACGCCCCGACAATCTCGGTGCCACCGCTCAAATCGAGTGGTGAACGTGAAGCACCGTTTATCGTAATTCGCTGAGGTTATTTGTGGGTTGTCACAGCAGCGTCCATCCTCGCAGTTGTCGTCCCGAGTCAGGGCAAAATATGGACCGCCAGTGTCTGCCCTGTAACTCTATAGGTATACTACCTAAGGAACCAAGCGGTACAATGCCGAAAATACGACGCAAAGGCGATCAAGTAGTGTCATACGGGGTGTAAAACTTCACCCGATAGCCTATTACATTTTCAATACACCGAAATAAAGTTCAACTGATACGATTTGAACGAAGCATTTACTAAAAAAACTATATTTATACTAACGGTTTTATCTCAAGTTTGCCCTGCATGACCAAAAAATAAAAAGAAACCATACGCTTCCTTCTAATTAATCTCTTCAACTCTCTATTAGTTCGACAAGGTTAAGCGAAAGCAGACAAAAAAGACCATGGCGACGGGAAAATGAAACGGAATCGCAGGTTCCGACGCTTCTAGTTATAGTGCGAGAACAAAACAACGACACAGAGACAAGAAGGACACGAAGTCGTCATTTCGTTCTCGCACTATAACTATCGTCATGCCATACCAACTAGCCCAAGCTGCCACACTTCGCAGGCTCCGGTCAGGAATTAAGTCAGCAGGTTAAATCGGCCTGCTCGGGTCACGAAGAGTCAAAAAGTGTATGTCATCGCGCAGCGTTGCGACGAAAGGACGTCAAGGTATAGTCGAACCTAGGCCTTGGCGCATTCCCGGAGCTCGCGCTCAGCTCAAATCGGATCGCGCCCTTGCACACGACGGCTCCTGGAAAACAGGGTTCCCGCGGAGAGTGTAGGCGCGCCCAGGTGTGCTCGGTGCTGTTACAGCATGGAAGACTGGTAGCTATACAAACGCTAAATACACGCGTGCCTGAAGCGGTGCGGCTTTGAGCGGTGGACGTGACGTATTTGCATAGAGGCACTCATTTCGTGCCTCTCCTCTCCTACGCGCGGCGCAAAGCCACGTTTCGTTCATGCGGAAGATCACGCACGCCCGCGCCGACACAGCGCACTGGATACTTTTTGTCGCGCGCTTCGTCACCGCGCGGGGTGCCCTCTCGCAGGCGACGCACGCACGCCCCCGCAGGTCAACCGGAGCGTGAGAGATATCCCGTAAGCTTCAATGCACTCAAGTGGTGGTGGTAGTTGTTAGAAGAGGGCGCCTAATATATGCAGCCCGATAGATAGTGGTAATCGCGCCGACTGCTGCTCGGACACAGACACGCCTATCCGTCGGACATTGTAATGTCGAAGGTGTCCTTGGAAGGCTTGCGAAGAAGTTATCTGTCACGGGCAATGGGCGTAAGCAAATAATCAGAAGCAGAAGGTCTTGTCTTGGGCTATATATAGTTGGTGTTTCTGCGTGTCTGTTTTGAGTCTGCGCTGTACACCACGATTATTAACCCAGAGCAGTCTCATTAATCCAAAGCAGTGTTGCCCTAGCAGAAGCACACCATGCTGATGAGCTCTTACTTCAAACGTATATTAAGCACCTTTCCGACTTTCGCATCAGTTTGAATCGCCACATTCACCCTCCCATAGCCTCGCAACGTGCAGCGCTGCATAAGAACGAGGAAACGTTGTCGTCGATCGGGGAGTAGGGCACACGCACGCACGTCTTCCGAGCAATCGGGTCGCGCAGATTCCGCGTAATCGCGTCCAGGGTGTGTACGCACTCGTGACGCAGGCCCGGT